CAAACATTAGCACTTAAGATTGCAAGCCCAGTCAAACTTTTCCTTTTTTTCTATATGCACGTTCATGCGTGAGCACTTTGCTCATCACTTACTCGATCGGCTCACACTTTGGCCTCCTTCACGAAATTTTGGCAGGTGGACTGCACTCATACCTGAATTTTTTTTATGCTGAATGTCTTGTACCTTTGGTTTTTGCGCGCTTAACGAGACCTGGCAAAAGAATGGTGTTTTACTCGATGTCAAAAGGTGTTAGCGATTCCCTTCACCCCCCTGGCTTGTGGTTCGAACTTCGAATCAGGCGAACCCTCCTATGACAGCCGTGATTATACCGTAGCCCGTTAATTAGCCGATTACGCAGAAGAATTTTTCTGGGTAAAGACGGAGACTGGATAAGCATTGGAGAAAATTTTTTTCATTATTATTCTGCACGTTCGCACAGGTGCAGGCATCCGTCGTCGGAAGTTGTAACAACAACAAAAAGCTAGAACTTGTAGGGGGTAAAAACCAATCAATTATCAATGACGCGAGTCCGGAGGTGACTGCGCAGTGCTCTGGATGTCGTAGCCCCATTCTCTCCAACAATGGAATTCTGCAGGAGTGCAAAAGCTTGGAATAATTAATGGGTTTTTTGTTGCTCGACTAGTCTCCATCTTTACTCATAAAAATACCTAAAACTTCAACCTTCGCATCCATTCGTAAAAAATCCTTCCTTCCGCATGGCTTTCGTCCCCCCTAAGAGTGCTCTTCGAGAAGAACGCGGTGGAATGTTTCGTTTATCCTTCATTTCTATGTCTCTGTACGCAGGTTTTTCCCCGGCTTTTTCCCTAAAACTGGTATCACCTTCAGAATCCCTCCTCCAGTCCTGAAATATCGCTTGAACTGCTGTGTAGACTTCTCAAGACTTAACCGTCTTTCGCAAGGTCTCACGCGGTATGCAAATGGGATGATTTGGCCGACACGCTACAGATGAAATAATTGAATTTGAGGCAGGTGCAACAAAAGAATCCCGCGTATCTATCAGGAAACCGGGCTCCCATGTGTTTTGGAACAACTGATTAACCTGCAATTTTACGATAATCTCGAGTGCTGTACTAGCACCACTTATTGCCATTCCTACTACTCAACTATTTGTTCTGTGTAACTTGCCCCATTCATCTTTCTCTGGGCCTTCGTAATTCGCCCTTGCGCGACGAGCGAGGTGAAGGCCTTAGTCATAAGGTTTACAAATGGTCGCCTAGGCAACCACGATAATAACTATTTTTATCGCAGGGCAGTCCACTACTTCGCTTACACAATGGGACACGCTCAGTAAGTTTTGCCTAGACGCTCTGCAAAAACGCCCTCTACAGGCAATCCTGTACGAATTACCATTTAAGATCGAATGGGATGAGCATATCCCGCCGTGTGCAGCCAGATCAGTGATTCCTCGGCTTAATTTTGAGGCAGAGGTCGGATGCGGGTACCGATTCATTCAAATGCGGTTTCCTAGTATGGCTAACTAATGATTGCTAACACGACACAAATGAGCCGTCGAGTCTAAATCGTAGTTTTCACGATTTCCCAATGGGCAGATAGCATTGCCGGCAAAGGCAAGGAAGACTGGGGTGGCCATTTGTGGCTTATTAGCCGTCGTCAGCCAGTCATACCCAGACCCAAGTGGTGTCCTATCCGAGCCTCGAACTCGCGACCTCTTTGATCAGAGTCAAACGTCCTAACCATTGAGCCACGAGCTCAATGTCTTTTCAGCTTAGATTAGGAGATATTGACACTCATTGATTAACGTTCACTGATCGCTAACGGAAATCACTCGTCCCGCTCTGCATTATGGCTCATTCTTGAGCCCCGTCAACAGCGGCACAACGGCCAGTAGTCTAGGCAAATACCATCGCCGGCAAAGATAAGGGAGACTGGAATGGCCATTGCTGGCTCATTAGCCGTCATTGATTGGTTAAAGATCAACGAGAGACAATTCCTTCAACAAATTGACGAGGTCGAGACAGATGAGAAGGAGGATTAGGAATATGTTATGTTCCTTCTTTTATTTCCTTCCTAGAGTTACCTCTTCCTTTTCAACTTCCCCCCCCCTGGCAGGTCGGCTGTTTTCTGTGTCTTCGCTTGTCACCAGTTGGCTCAGTGGTGTCTTCTGCATAAACGAGCGAGCAGTCTACATGGGTCACTGGAAATACGGCTTCTTCGCCTATGTCGCCGTCGGGGCCACCAACGTGGGCAGTATCCGGGTCTTTCAGGATCCGCACCTCGTGACCAATCGACCGAACTACCTGCGCTACCTCTTCTCCAGTCGACAACAAGTGCAGGTTGACTCCAACTGTTCTGCTACGGACGCGACCTCGCAGGTACCCATCATCCGAAAGATGGATGGCTACGAGGACCTGCACTTCCCAGCAAAGCTCCAGCTGAAGAAGGGTGACCTGTTCGGAGAGTTCAACTTTGGCTCGACAATTGTGCTGATTTTTGAAGCTCCCACGGACGGTTTCGAGTTTGTAGTGAAGAGTGGAGACCGTATTCAGATGGGCAGACCCCTGGGACAGGTACGCGGCAGATGAGCTCACCAAGGCACCAAAGAACCTTAAACTCTCTCCCCCGCCCCTCCCTCGTTCTTCCCCTACCTCCAAATCCTATTTCAAAAAAGCCTTTCAATAGAGGGAAGAACATTTTTTTGTCAGTAAATGATATATCTATATATTGACCATTCCCTGTTTCGACCAGTTCGACGTTGTCTTTTTGCGCACGACAATGGATTTGCGGACTGCGGCCGTTCCAGACTTACACGCAGTCTACCTTCCTAATCTTTTTGCGCCCATATATCAGGCGCGATCGCACTTTCGCAGAAATGGGGGTCTCTTATACCCATTTGTTTTTCATTGCCACTGTCTACTCCATCCATCCATCCCCCCCATTTCTACTTTCTCGCTGTTGATCTCATTTGTCCCTTACGGCGATGCAGAGTAAGGACTAAGGTTGCGAAGAGAGTTGACATTTGCAACATTGCCGCTACTTCTGTCGCCTGATTTGGTTCCCTTTTGTATTATTAAAAAAAAAGAGAAATATAAGTTTTCAAGTTGTAAGAGCTGAGCAGATTGTCCCATTCCTGTCGGCAGACTCTGCTGATTTACTAACATTGCCGTTTCGAAAAAAACAATTACTGGAGCCTGCTGATTGCCTCTGTTTAGCCACACTTGTTCTGTTCGGCTAGGGACGATCAGGAGATGACGACCAATGTCGAAGACGCCACGTTTTTTTCCGGCTCATACGAACGCTGGTGCCTGTGTCAGGACATGCGTCCCAGAAACGAAGATGAACAACACTGAAAAAAAATTAGCTGGAAATTTGGCGAATCCGAAATTCTGGCAGGAGGTCTTTGGTAAGATGGTGGCACGTTCTCAACAAACGGTGTGTAGGACGCTGTGTTTTTTCTGCGCATACGAGGACTGTGAGGACATGCGTCTGAGAAACAACGATAAACAACTTGGTCGAGAGTCATTTGACTAGGTAGGTTGCCTTTTGGTAAACCCGAGATTCCGGCAGGAGATTTTGAATAAGGTGGTATATTGCTGAAAATTTGATTCCCAGGTGGTAAACCAGAAGAAAGAGGAGCGTTCACCGGGAGAGGTTTATTAAAAGCCTGACGTTTCGGGTAGTTATGTCGTCTACCCATCTTCAGAAAAATACCCTATACCTAAACAGGAGGGGTCAGGCGTCATTTACCGACTTAAGTGCAGGGATATGCAGTTATGTTGGAGAAACCAGCCGACAACTACAAACGCAAATGCATGAGCATAGGTTGGTTTTACGAAGGTTTGACCAAAGTCGGAAGTAACAAC